GAAGATGAAGTTCAAGATGCACGGGGGCAGGAAGGAGTGTGGTGGGGGCTGGAGCAGATAAAAGACCAACCTTGCAAAGTCTCCTTCTCTCTGAGTGAGATGGGAAGACACTGGCCAACTTCAAGCAGCAGAGAGGTGTTATTTCATTTAAGAGATAAACATACAATGAGCATGTCTGTAATGAGGAAGAGCGTTGAGAAAGACACAGGAGGCGAATTAAAGGTTATTGCAGCGATCATCTCCATGGGGGTGGGATAGCGTGGCCGTGGTGGGGCAGAGTGATGGAATCCTGGATGTATTTTGAAGGGATAGGTGACAAGATTTGCTGATGAGAGACAGAAAAGGAGTCAAGGGTGATTCCAAAGTTTTTGGCTTAAGACTGGAAAGATTCTTGACCTCATGACTAGTGAGTGAGGTGGGGAGTGTTGTCAGCATGACATTTAGATTATCATGGGTGGTGATGGTGACCTCTCCTTCCCTGATTATTTATGGTAAAAAACAAACAAACAAACAAACAAACAAACAAAAAACCTCTATCAAAATAGTGTGACCATCAAAATAAAGTGATTGTTCAGGGTTTTAGTATGAATTTTACTTAAAGCAAGCATTTTATATCAGCTGAAATGATGTCCACTTTTAAAAGTAATAAAACAAGGATCCTATAAGTAAACAATCCATGGAAACTATATTATAAAGTCAATTCTAACAAATAAAATGACATTAAGTTAAGAATGCACAAATACTTCAATTTCATTTTTAATTAACTATTCACAAGTAATGGCTGGCAATTGTCCTTGATGAAGTCAAAAGCTTTGTTAAGTCCTTGATGCTTTTTAAGTCTTTGGTGAAAATCAATGGAAGCACCTTCCTAAAAGGTATTATTTACTTTTATCTTTCTAGTTTTTTTGGGGGAGTTTGTTAATCCTCATTCCTGGATATTTTTCCATTGCATTTTTTAGAGAGAGTGCATGTGTGTGTGAAAGAGAAAAAGAGAGAGAGAGAGAGAGAGAGAGAGAGAGAGAGAGAGAGAGAGAGAGAGAGAGAGAGAGAGAGAGAGAGAGAGAGAGGGAGAGCAGAGAGAGAGGGGTTGCTTCCTGAGAGCAGACTGGGGCCTGGGATCCAACCTGCAACGCAGGTGGATGCCCTTGACCAGGAATGAAACCTGCAACCCTGTGGTGTGCAGGACATGCTTTAACCACTGAGTGTACTGGCCAGGGCCTCACTAGTTTGTTTTTAAGAAGGACCAGCACTTAACATTGACTTCCAAAAGACTCTCTGGTTAGAATTGTCTTTTTCCCCTGATAAACTCACAGTAGGTACTTCCCCCTCTGTTGTCTTCCCCCAAAATATCTAACTCTATTCACCAATTTCTTTCCTTTTTTTCTTGTTATCTACATGACAACCTATCTTTCCAGGTCAACACAAGTTCTACTTCCTAAAATCAATGACTCTGACCCTACTACCTCCAGCCCACACTCCAATATAATATTTTATATGTAAATTATTACTTTTACATAATATTGAAATATACTTTGAAAAAATATTTGTAAGCAACCATTCTAAGAAAACAAGTATTCGCATTTTACATATTATTTCTTTTTTGTACCTTCTTGGTAGAATTAGTGTTCTGGAATGGAACATGACAAGTTTGTGATTCTAGTGGGCCCTGGTTAATCTCTTACTAAAATACTCTGAACCACTAGGCCATCAGAATGCCCAATTCTGGAGTTTGGAGACAAGCTAAGCAGGGAGGCAAGGTGTGAGAATTGGGTTAGGACACTGTGTTTCCATTGCCTGTTGTGGTCTTGGCTTGCTGTGGAAAAGAATTGTGTTTAAGGACTGCGCTGCTTTGCTGGTATCTATGGCATTGCTTATTGTATGAAACTAGCCAAGAGGGGCTGAGATACGCACAAACTGGATCCTCCGTGCTAAAGGGCTGTGAATGGAGAAGGCAACGACTACAAACCCATGCACCTCATCAGTCAGTTATTGCAAAAACGGTGAGTAGCTGCCTGAGCCATGGTTCATGGAATAAGAACCGGTCTGCCTTCTCAGCGTGTACTTGCTGCACCCGGGTGATAAGATATGAGGAGGAGGAATGGTGTGGAAAAGCAGACCCTGCTCCTCTCTGCCAGCCTACTAGAGCTACAAGGGTAGTCATGTCTGGAAACTTTGAATGGGAAATGCGATTAAGGTTTGTAAGTGAATAACAGTGAGTCTTAAAAAGCAAAACTCTTCTAATAATACACAAGTCCTAACTTTATGAACTCAGGATGACGTGTAAGGGGGACCCACTACTCAGTGATTGATAGCAGAAAAAGTTTGACATAAAGCAGCATTATTTGGGAGGGCAAATAGAAACAGCAAGTGCTTATAGCCACATCACTTGAGTTAGTCTCAGATGACCTTGAGACGCATCATTCAGTTCTCTCCAGCTTGGAATGTTCTAGGGCACATGTGTCAAACACAAGGCCTGCGGGCCAAATCCGTCCCACCAGGCCTTGCAATGTGGCCCGCACCGCGCTGTCATCACTGCACTCTGCTGCGTTTCCATCACAATGACAGTTTATGACTGTTCAGTAAACCATTCGGCCCGCGATTTAGGCTGGATTTTAGATTTTGGCCCCTTCTCTGATTGAGTTCGACACCCCTATTCTAGGGTGAGAATTAAAAAATAAAGTGACTGGTCATACATGATTTTTCTATAATTTATAAGCACTAAATTATATATAAGGTCATTGTGGAAATATTGTAGTTTCAACACTCTAAAGGAAAATAATGCTCTCTATCCAGATCCACTTTTGATTATGTTGGGAATATAGATTCTGAATATGTAAACATAAAAAAATCAATACCAGATTTCTAACATTAATGGAAAGAAGAATAAGGACATTCATATTAGTCATCTATAAATTAAAATCATAAAAGAGCATATTGTCTTCAAGCATCAAGGTTCATTCTCCTCATCTCTTCTAATGCAATGCTATTTATAATTTTTTGGATTTAGAAATGGCCAGTCTTTGATTATTTTAATGTAAGTGGCTTTTTAAAAAATTATCTATTCTAAATAGTTATTTATTTATTTTATTTACTTATTTGTTTATTTATTTGTTTATTCATTTATTTTTAAATGAACATTGGGATTCATTGAGGAATCTGTTATCTAATTATTCATTTATATGCTTGAACCTCCAAATCAAAATGATTAAATCCAATAATTCTGAGTATACACTTTGATTATTGCTTTTACAAGTTGGCTTGGTGAAGATAAGTTTATTTATTGTCTGCTTTTATTTTGTTGCATTCTTTTAGTTAATATCTTATAATTTATATATTTTTTAATTTTTTAATTCTCACCCTAGGATATTTTCCCCATTGCTTTTTAGAGAGGATGGAAGAGAGTGAGGAGGGGGAGAGAAACATCCATGTGAGAGAGACACATTGGTTGCCTCCCACACTTGCCCAGGCAGGGACCAGGGATCAAACCTGCAACCAAGAAGATAAAATGTGGTTCCTTTGGAACCAGGAAGATTTCTCATGCAAATCAATAGAGAGAAATTCAATCAACATATGCAAAGATTGTTTTGTTTTTTTCTCTGGGATTATTTTCACCTGGAAAGCCAACAAGTAAATTTTCTTTGTCCTCTACCTGATACTAAACTCATTCTTTTCTCAGTGTGGAAAGAGGCAGATAAGATATGCTTAGGATCTTTTTAAAAAATATATTTTATTTTATTTTATTTTATTATTATTATTTTTTTACAGAGAGAAAGGGAGAGGGATAGAGAGTTAGAAACATCAATGAGAGAGAAACATCAATCAGCTGCCTCCTGCACACCTACCTCCTATGAGGGATGTGCATGCCCTTGGCCAGAATCAAACTTGGGACCCTTCAGTCCACAGGCTGACACTCTATCCACTGAGCCAAACCAGTTAGGGCATGCTTAGGATCTTTTAAGAGGCTGCAAAGCAGATGAAAAATTACAGTCTTTGGAGTTGGCCAAATCTGCATTTAAGTTCATATTTTACCACATCATAATTGAATGTTTTTTGGGACATATTAATGAGCCTCTCTGAGACTCAATTTTCTGTTGTTCAAATGAGGTTAATAATGACTCCTACTCTTTAATAGACTCTAGCCTCAGGCACTTATATGCTATTGAACCATGTGGGGCACACTTTCAAGTACATTATAATACATTATTGAATACATACAGTAGATATATCATATTTTGTCATAACCATTTCGAAGGAGAGCCATTTCAATTCATCCTATATAACAATCCACCAAACATTATCATTTATATGGGACACAACTAAAACTTAGACAAATAACTATATTGCTTAGTCATACCCTAGTCACGCACATGTGTCAAACACAAGGTCCGCGGGCCAAATCCGTCCCGCCAGGCCTTGCAATGTGGCCCGCACCGCGCTGTCATCACTGCACTCCGCTGCGTTTCCATCACAATGACAGTTTATGACTGTTCAGTAAACCATTCGGCCCGCGATTTAGGCTGGATTTTAGATTTTGGCCCCTTCTCTGATTGAGTTCGACACCCCTACTAAGGTCTGACTCTTGGTGTCATAGGCTAATATATATTCCTGAGGCATGTTGAATACAGGTTATGTGAAAATAGTAAATAATTTAGAAAACATTAAGTCTTCGTCACAGTTGGATGTTTAATTATATGGACTACTTCTTTGTATTATAAAAATTAACCATTATATTTCCAAAATAAAATATTTCAAAATAGAATCATAAAAGTATGTGACCAGCTATGTTTCTGATTATATTCACAATATACATACTATTTCAATATATTGCATGTAACATATTTGACATTTTATCTAATCTTAGCACAATATTAAGCAAAATCAGTAATAAAAAAGTTAATTTTTATAGTTATTTTTTCTTACAGGTCTTTTTTCCTATGGGAATTTGGCCTATTTAGTTTCTTTCTTTTTCTTTTCTTTTTTTTTTTTTTTTCTTTTTTCAGAGAGGAAGAAAGAGGGGTAGAGCGTTAGAAACATCAGTGAGAGAGAATTATCAATCAGCTGCCTCTTGCACACCCCCTACTGGGGATGTGCCCACAACCAAGGTACATGCTCTATCCAGTGAGCCAAAGCGGTTTTGGCGTATTTGGTTCCTAAGGTTGCTTTTCAGTTTGTTGCTCTTGAACAAAATATTTGAAGCGTTTGCCCCAATGGAGAGGGAACCCAATATATTTTTATTATCCAGTCATGTTCCTTTCTTAGAAATTTCTTATGCTCCACATATTCTTGGAGGTCTGTTACAATCTTACTACATATACCCAATACTCTGGTCATGATTGATTGCTCCAAGATGGGAATCTGGCAGAGACTAGAATTAATCTACACGGAGCCTTTCAGATAATTCTTTTGAGAAATACAATTTGATCTACTCATTGAATTGTAATATCACAGAGAAATAAATGAGTATAATTGACAGAAACATGAATGAAAATTCAGGAAGAATCATTTTGAAGATTTGAGATTGAAGCAGATTTTACAAGAGATATCTAAGTCACCAGAAATCTTGCACTTCTAGAGAGAGAAGAGCAATTTGGAAAGGGGTGTGTGTGTAAATAATGAGTTTTCAGTCGTCACTAGACCCAGCTGAAAATTCCTGCTCTGTGTTTTGTTGACATTTTAGTAAATATTTTAAAACAACAACAAAAACAACCAAACTCTTGTATTTGGATCGATATGAATTGTTTTTAGTCTTTGCAACCAAAGAGTAATGATCCTAAGACAATTTTTATTACAAATTAAATACATGACTGTCTTTAAATTTAGTGGTGAAAAGTAAAATTGCCATACAATTCTAGAAATTTCTCCATTTTTGTCACAGAACATTGAACTAAGTAGATTCCTAATAAATATTTGATTTGAACCCTCAACGTTGTGAAGAAGTGTGTTCTGAAATGATATAAACTAAACTTTTATGTAGCAGCCATCTTTCCAAGTCAATTTTTTTTGTAACAAAAAACAGAGAAGATTTTACAAATCTGTTGGTAAGAATCACTATCATGATTGGAAAAGAAAAGATCCAGTGAGAAGAGAATGAGGGCTTAAGAATAAATAAATAAATAAATAAATAAATAAATATAAAAGACAACATCAAGGACAATGGATTTTCTGCTGAGTACAGAAATGAACAATTGGAACACAAGGTTGGAAAAAGCCCATTTATCATATTAAGAAGGGTAAAAGCAATATATATTATTATTATTTTTTTTTTACAGAGAGGAAGGGAGAAGTATAGAGAGTTAGAAACATTGATGAGAGAGAAACATCAACTAGCTGCCTCCTGCACACCCTGCACTGGGAATGTGCCCGCAACCAAGGTACATGCCCTTGACTGGAAATGAACCCGGAATCCTTCAGTCCACAGTCCACAGCTTGACGCTCTATCCACTGAGCCAAACCAGTTTCAGCCATATATATTCTTAAGTAAATATGTCTAGTAGATAATAAAACACCTGGTTAAAATGAAATCTTCAAAATTACATTTGGATATTTGCTCCATAAAACGTCAAACATAAGGATAATTGGAAATATAGAGCTAAATTACTTAAATGTTAAGCTTTCATCCAGATGCTTGTTGCTATATTAGACCAAAAATTATCTATACTAATAAAGGGGCAATATGCTAATTAGACAAGATAGACCAGCCATCTTCTGGATGTGTGACTGCCTTCCAGAAAAGCCATGGTGGTGGGGGCCAAGGTAGAGGCAGTTAGGTGTGATCAGGCCTGCATTGGAGGCGAGTTGGGGGCAACTAGGTCAGCAGGGGAAGGCAGTTGGAGGTGATATCAGGATGGCAGGGGAAGGCAATTGGGAGTGAGATCAGGCCAGCAGGGGAGGACAGTTGGGTGCGAGATCAGGCCAGCAGGGGAGGGTAGTTAGGGGCAATCAGGCAGGCAAGCAGAGGTAGTTAGGGGTGATCAGGCAGGCAGGCAAGTGAGTAGCTAGGAGCCAGTGGTTCCAGATTGCGAGAGGGATGTCCTACTGCCTGGTTAGGCCCGATCCCACCAGCAGTTGGACATCCCCCAAGGAATCCCCAATTGGAGAGGGTGCAGGCTGGGCTGAGAGAAGGCCCCCCACCTCCCTGTGCATTAATTTCATGTACCAGGACACTAGTTTCATTATATTATAATAATCAGAAATACATAACTGCAGCAATATATAAAATAACATTTTCAATATTGTTCATTGGAGAAAGGTATTAACCAATTATTAGAGACTACACAAGAAATGCGCTTGTTTTTAAATTTTCATTATCTGAGCAGTAGTAACTGGTAAATCATGGAAACACAGAAATTTCCTGGAGGATAATCTGCCAACTTGACTAAAAAACAAGTTTATTTCCATTCCAGGTTCTTTTTAAAAAGATTTTTAGTTTTTATACATAGAAGTATCAATGAGCTAAAGTTTTTGGCTATTTATTAAAAAAACAAAGGAATCTATTTATTTTTGGAAACGCCTTAGAGAAAGTTATGAGTTCTAATCCTTTGGCAATGTTTATTTGTAAAGAATAGAGTTCAAGGAGGTTTACTGTACAGCTAAAATTCAGCTTGAAGAAGTACTAGATGGCATAAGCAGAGCTGGCTCACAAATTATATCCAATGGGAGAATGGAGAGAGTGAGACCCAGACAGTCAAAAATAGCAGAAGGCATGTGTCTGGCACTCAGACCGTGTTCAGTCCAGACTGTACAGTGGGTGCAGAGAAAGAAGAACTTTACATGTGTCATTTACAGTTGTGGGGGCAGAGGAGGTTTAAGGGGTCACCAAGTCATTTTAGTGAGCTGTAGCAAATAGTCCTCAAAGGCAAATAATCTCTGTGTTCTGTTTTAGGTGATTTTACGGCTTTACTAGAGGTTCTGTACATGTACTCGTGCACGGTGGGGTCTCTCAGCCTGACCTGTGGGATCAGGCCCAAACTGGTTCTCTGACATCCCCTGAGGGGTCCCGGATTGCTAGAGGGCTCAAGCCAGGCCGAGGGACCCCACTGGTGCATGATCAGGGCGGGGGAGGGACCATAGGAGGGTTCCAGGATGTGTCCAGCCCATCTTGCTCAGTCCCAATTGGCCAGACTCCAGCAGCAAGCTAACTTACCGGTTGGAGCATCTGCCCCCTGGTGGTCAGTGCGCATTATAGCAACTAGTTGAAAGGTTGAACCAACGGTCAAACACTTAGCATATTAGGCTTTTACTATATAGGATCTATGTAGTAAATGTTTAAGTTTCAGTTATACCATTCTAATTTTGAGCTGAAAAACATTACACTCATGACCAACATTTTGTTTAATGAAGAACCACACAGTTGATGATGGTCTCATAAGATTACAATGGAAAAAATTCCTATTGCCTAATGACCTTGTAGCTGTCAAAACATCATAGCACGACACATTACTCATGTTCATGGTGATGCTGATTTAAACAAATGCACTTCTCTGCCATTCATATAAAAGTATAGTATATACAAAAACAGTAGTTGTCTATGCCATTTAGGTTTTATGTGCGTACACCCTATGAAGTTTGTGTAAGTATAAAATTGCCTAACAATGACACATTTCTCAGAACATATTCCCATTGTAAAGTGGCACATAAATGCATTTATAAAATAAAGGTGACACTAAAACTACTTAGTCTGTAGACCGTCATCAATTTAAAATCAATTTAAAATATATTTTTTAAACATGTAACTTCATTGGCTTACGTGCATGTAATTATATATATATATTAGAGGCCCGGTGCAAGAAATTCGTGCAAGGGGGGTCCTTTCAGCCCAGCCTGCAACCTCTCCAATCTGGGACCCTTTAGAGGATGTCTGACTACTGGCTTAGGCCTGATCTCAGGGATCTGGCCTAAAATGGCAGTCAGACATCCCTCTCACAATCTGAGACTGCTGGCTCTTAACTTCTCACCTGCCTGCCTGTCTGATCTTCCCTAACTTATCCCACTACCAGCCTTATCATCCCTAATCATCTCTTGCCTGCTGGTCTGATCACCCCTAACTGACTCCTGCTGGGCTGGTCAAACACAACTGCCCCCTTGCCAGCTTGGTCACCCCCAACTGTCCCATTGCCAGCCTGGTTGTCCCTCACTGCCCCCCTCTGACAGCCTGGTAACCCCTAACTGCCCTGCCTGCTGGCCTAATCACCCCCAAAACTCCCCCCTGCCAGTCTGGTAGCCCCTCACTGCCCTCCTCTGACAGGCTGGTCACCCCTCATGTCCACCCCTAGTGGCCTGGTCATGCCTAACTGCCCTCCTTGCAGGCCTTGTTGCCCCTCATGATCCCCCCATGCTGGCCTGGTCGTCCCACGCAGCCTGCTGTTTGGTCATTACTGTGAGGGCATCCTGATTAATTTGCATATTACCTTTTTATTAGTACAGATAGCCTAAGTGACAGTTACAGTGGAACAACCAGTCACTATGATGCACACTGACCACCAGGAGGCAGATGTTCAATGCAAGAGCTGCCTGCTGGTGGTCAGTGCGCCCCCACAGGGTGAGCACCGCTCAGCCAGAAGCCCAGCTCAGGGCTGTAAGTACAGCGGCATGGGAGGAGCCTCTTCCACCTCCATGGTAGTTCTAAGGAGCAGTGAGCTGAGTGGTTAAGGAGCAGTGAGCAGGAGGGTGGATCCTGGACTGCAAGAAGGATGTCTGATTGCCAGCTTAGGCCCAATCCTCCAGGACTGTGAGAGAGCACAGGCTGGGCTATGCACCCTCCCCCCTCCAGAGCACAAATTTCATGCTCTGGGCCTCTAGTAAAGAAATAAATGACTATCAGAGAAAGTTAATTCCATATCTATCTATATTGAAAAATATATAAGTCTGTATCTTTATCAATGTTTCTCTCAAAGTTAGGTGAAGATTTTATGTTTTATCTCATTTAGTAAGCCATTTCAGGCATGGGTTAAAGGTTAATGCTCTTGCCAGAAAAGGCATGGTTTTGCCCATCTAGACTCTCCTTCAGAGTTTATAAGGCTTTGGGAGGTGTCCCGATGGGGCCTTGTGCCTGTAGCAATGTCTTTAGCTAGGCCAATAGTATAGAGAGAGTTTACATTAAACCTGCCTGGGTCAGGTCCAAGACAGCATAAACCAAATGACTTGAAGAACCTCTCAGCACTTAAGTACAATATTAAAATATGTTAATGTTCACTATTCAGTGATATCTTCCCATGTTTTATTCTCTTATGTGATGATTTTTAATAATGAGTATGTATAGGGAAGTAGAATAAGGAAAAGATTGTATTTTTATGGTGAACTTTGGATCAGAATCTGGCTTCAGCAGATTTTAATTATTAATTGATTGTTTTTCTTGTGATGCCTGAGTTTTGTGATAGAAATATATAAAAATTCATCCTTTTAAAAAATATTTTATTGATTTTTTAGAGAGGAAGAGAGAGGAATAGAGAGTTAGAAACATCGATGAAAGAGAATCATCCTGCACACCCCCTACTGGGGATGTGTCCCCAACCAAGGTACATGCCCTTGATTGGAATCGAACCTGGGACCTTTCAGTCCACAGGCTGATGCTCTATCCACTGAGCCAAACCGGTTTTAGCTAAAAATTCATTCTTTTAAAATATTAGCAAATATTCGTCACTCACAAGCATTTATATTTTACCATTTTCATAAGAGATTTATTTAAAAGCTGCAGGGGAAGAGGTGATGTTTATAAAGAGATAACTAAAATCCTTCAAGTGGTTGATAAAATGTGATCTTTAAAGACTGTTGGCCATTCCACTGTGGGCACTATTTCCATATCATCATATCCCTAGTTTCAGAACATGTCCTAGTTTGGTTCTCTCCCTTTTCATTCCCCCATCCCTCTTCTTTTTTCTCTGTCCACTTATGTTCTCACAAGGTACTGCTTATCCATCTTTTGTATGCTCTTGCTGTTGTCTTTAGGGTCTGAACTTCTACTGAAAGATGATTATCAATTATTTTCTTAATGAGTTATCTTCCAATATAAATTTATGGTGAAGCTATTACTTTATTATTTTGTCTCCAATTCAATGTAAGTGATCTCTTTCTGATATTCACCTAGATACTTTTCAAATATTTATATTTGCAACATGTGATTTTTAGATTTTACTTTTTAAAGTTAAATATAGTCTGAATATTTAATAACACCTAGATCAAATGGCTTCAGGAAAAGCAGGGATAGTGAATTGTATAATTTGGTTACAATCTTATTTTTCCAGTGTTAATATGTAAGTATTCTCATCAAAGAAGTTAGCTATGAATTGGGATGCTGCTTCTTTTATACTCTCATTTGAAGTAAAAAGTGTGAAAGT